TCTGCTCAAAAATGTCACGTCCAGAGCCCAACGGCCACCCTCTCTGGGGGCAAGCAGACTGACCGACCGACGGACCGGGCGGAAAGCCCAGGCAAAACCTCTCACCTGCTGTTCAAGAAGATCAACGCCGTGATGCCCGACTGGCCCTCTTCGTTGCTGCAGCGCAGAGTGCCTTCGATCGCATCCCACACCTGCAAGACCAAGGGGACTGGAGAGGGCGGCCTAGGCAAGGCTCCCCTTCCCCCCACCCTCCCAGCGGTGTTCTGGAGTGGGGGGGTTATGCCTCACGACAGCATCGCAAAACGATGTTTCCTATGAGGGAATTTCGCTTTGCGATGATCGGTTCCAATGATGATTTCCAACAGCTGATCAGCGGTTTCAAAATGGCCACTGGGTGCTCAAAATGGCTCCCCGCTGTGTTTAGGGACGGATTCCTCGCAAGACAGGCAGTGAAAATGGCCGCCCTATGGAGGATCTTCGCTGGACGGTGAGTTTTAAGCCCATCGGAACGCATTAAACAGGTTTTAATGCATTTCTATAGGCTTCTAAATTTTGTTTTACGATGTTTTCGTTCTACAGCGATTTCGCTGGAACGAATTAACATCGTAATGCGAGGCACCACTGCACGCCGCTTAGCTATTCTTTGGAGAATACCTAAGTGGCGTACAACCAATATGCAAATAAAGAGTCTCCGGGGTCACCAGCTGCAGAGCTGACAGGGCAAAACAGGAGGGACATTTCCACACAAGAGGAGGACGCACTGCTTGGGGGGGGGGTATCCACTTCTCCCTGGCCCTGGGCAAGCCTTTTGCTGGCTCCTTCTCTAGGGCGCCCGGCTATGCTCTGTGGGGAGGGGCACAGGGAGGTGGGTTTTGTCTGAACGACATCCTCCGGGCAGGGGCCTTTGGAACTCGAAGGGCCACCCTCACTGCGTACTCATGGACTCCAACCCAACCAGGCATCCCACTGCCCCCCCCACCGCCTTAGGGGCACCTAAGAGGCCTGTGCTCCCTTCACCACAAAAGGTGTGAGCACAAACCGAGCAGGGGTCAGGGCACAAGGCCAGGACTTAGGCAGCCCGGGTAAAAATCACCAAGTCAGCCATAGTC